GTATATGTAACCTTGGCGCGTACGAATAGTGATTTTAGTTCGTATGATTTTGGTACGTATACCATGTGCATACTAATATGCGGTGTGTGTATCTCTCACACCTCGTGTCAAGGATTGGGAGTATACAAACGAGCGATTCATTGCCAAAAATAATGTACAAATGTTCTCCACCGTGCCCATTATATACCATAAAGTCTCGTCGAATGTTTTATTCGGCATCATTTACATTATTTAAACACGGCGTGGATAACGTTTGATGCAGAATACTCAATTCAGTGCTGCAGTGATATTTAATGTTGCCTGCTCGTTTATAAATCCCTCGACCTATATTCACAAGGCGGACAGGACGTTTCACTTGTGAACACGCGGACGAGGGTTGTGCTATAATCGCTGATTTTCACGTTAACCAGACAAATCCTGAACATCGAGCGCGTGGTGACAACGGATGGACCGTCATTGTTTTGGGTCAATCCGAAATTGTGACGTGCCGATCGGCGTCACTTCCGCTGCGTCACTTCCTGCGCTTGTCCTCCCTAAAATTGTCACGTGATGTCATTGTGACTGACGTGACGTAAGCAATGGGTATCAAAGTCACATTCGAAGAATTATTTTTTGGGGTTGACGATTGCACTTAATGTTACGAGTTAAACCACTTCGCGCTTTAAATGGTGAACATTATTACAAGGAGGAAAACAGGTCTATGTGAAAATACGAAACTCAACCGTTGACGCAAAAAAACGACACGTTCGTCAATTAAGTCGTGGCCTTACCAAACTAAATCTATAATATGCTGCGTTTGCGAAACTTCACCTGCTAAGTAGTATTTCCTTTTAAGACCACACATTGACCAATATGTTCAGTGTTTTGTTATATGTGCACCACTACCAATGCAGTAGCCAGCATCGGTAGGTAATTTGTTTAAATGGATACATGCATGGTTGCTGCAATACGTTTCATAAGATACATATATATACATACATAGAGGAACATGCATGCCTCAATGCAGATGGCCCATTGACTTGTGGAATTAATTTTTATGTTTTGTTCACGATGCAGATGCTTTGCTTATTACCTGCAATCTGCCTATACAGCAATTTGATACTGTACTTTAAATATTTACACACCCAGTAAACTTGGGACGTTGGGCCAACGTTGCTTTTTAAAAATATATAGATTTAATATATTGTCAACTTAGTGACTGAAGGCATCACCGAGCCGTTGCCAATATATAAAAATTTTCATAAATACTTGAGTCAAAACAGAAGGGCAATAGGTGGTAAGATAAAAAAATATTGGCATTGGTTGAACTCAGTTATTGTTGGCATGAGGCAGATATTTTGTCGACCTGCAATGTGCCCCTCGAGCTCACAATATGATTTTCTACTTAGCATAAGCGCTTAAGCAAGTATGCTTAAATAGTGAACGTATATATGTATGTGTGGCCGCGTTCTTGAGTCTCAAGTTAATCAGAAATAACAACAAAAATATGAAAATCAGCCATTGGTTACGGTTAGACGATCCAAAACGTGTTTTTGTTTTGGATTGATTCCAAAGTATGACGTCACAGGAAACTACGACACTTGTAAACGTCACTTCCATGCTATTCTCATCCGATGCAACAACAACAGTGTCGTTGTGGCATCGGATGACGCCACTCTTGTCAGCAAGAGTTAAACAATTATGTCACGTTGAATGATCTGAAATTGTCCAGAATCTGGCATTTAAAAATCAAAAGCTTTTCCCACACATGTATTTGTAAAGACCATAATAAGATACATAAGTTGTGTATATATATGCATGCATAAATACAGAAAGATCATTGGTTGGTGGACTTATTCTATTTTGTATTTGGCAATGAACTAGAATTATTTTGCCGAAGTAATTATTAGTATTTCTCTATATTTTTACGTCATTGGATTGTTTCCAATATTTAGGTTATTTTCCGTCGATATGGATAATTCGGAAGATCCCGAAAATGTTTTTGCTCTTGGATTGTTCTGACAATGTGATGTCATTCCAATGTTGCTACCTCGATGCTTTTCCCAACAAAATGTATCCGCTGTCACACAATATCGCTTTTGCATTAATTATCAATTTCCAAACGTATTCACGTTTATAGCTGTTTTTTTCTACCGTTTGTCTTCCCGTAAAAAAATTACGTAGTTATTAATGTAAAAAAAATCATTAAATATAGGACATTAACAATTAAAGTAATTGAAATGTAATACATTTGATTAAAAAAATAAGAAATAAACTCTGAAATTTGGCTTATAAATAAAAAAATGTAAAATAAAGAATTCCAATTTCAAAATGTTTAAGTACAATTTTAAGATGTCATTTTTTTAGATGTACGGACCCTTCACATCTGTGCAATAATCGCATCTCCTAACAAAACGTGACATCACCCGTATGCCATGGAACGCCTCGATTTGGTGGGAAAAGCGAGGAATTGAGCTAATATGACGTCGTACATTCATATGAATAGGAAATAAACCACAATAAAATGTGTATCTTCCGAAATTTCATTTCTAGGCGCAGTTTTATTTTTGGATCGTTCAGATTAAGCAAATATCGGCAATGCATCCCTAATTTATACACTACATGATACGATGGATCAGATGCCTATTCACACACACCAATACAGAAGGCCGAATGCTTTGTGGACTTGTGTATGACTGTATATTTAATATTATTTGTCATGAAGCATATCCTTCACCTGCTTCATTATTTATGTTTGTGCAGTTTAATTGTTATAGTTTACAGAATACGACGATGTATAATGTAACATTCTTTATGGTTGTATAATCTGCTTTTCTTAAGATAAAATGATTTCGTTAATTATCGTTTGCTCATTATTGTTTGGCACTTGTCACACCATCATTACTTTCATAGTTAAATTAATGTTTAAATTATTTTTGCGTAACTAACAAAATGTCCATTAAAAAGCGTTGTAGATGCTAAAGTTGTGACTATTTTTCATAATTATAGCATCTGGATTCTGTTGAGTGAAGTGCATTTGTGGAGGACCTCTGAGTAATCGTCATTCCTACTGGAAATACAGCAAAGTATAAAACCACTACAAATTAAGTGCGAAATACAATTATAAAGTTACGGGAATACTGACATGGCAACAGGTGTCACGTCGCAAATATGTATATTGTATCAACATGACAAATTATAGGACGCCAACCTTGATCATTATCTCACGGTAGATTTTGCGGGTTTAGACCACGTAATGATCTGGGCCATTTTGTTGTTATTGTGGACTATGATTGAACCTTCTTGGTTCTTTCGGTAAAGTCACGTAAAATGAAACAGCACCATGCTCCAAGCATGGTGCTGTTTCATTCAGACGCTGTCACCCCGACAGACCTGGTCTTCACCTGAGGACAGCTGCTTGCGTTGTGGCCGAAACTTCGTGAGAATTATTTTATAATGTTTTATTTTATTATTTTATTATTTCCATTCTACGTGACTTTACCGAAAGAACCAAGAAGATGAATCCCTGCAGTCACGAAAGCTTTAAATCGAAATTTATGAATGAATCGTCCACCGGCTTGACACAGCCAAACAAAAAACTCCATCGCCACGCGGTGCACGAGCGGTTCGGCACGCCAATTGTTATTGTCGCAGGGTGGTGGCGGGTTTAACGACACATTTATATTTACGCGATCTAACCCAAAACACCTCCTATGGATAATATTGGTCCCGAAAGCCTACGTGTTAAAACGAAGTTGAAGTGCGATTATCACAACCAATTTTGAGCAACCAAAGTTGAATGAGACACAAATTTTGTCAGAGGTTGTTTTTAAATCCTTTATATTAAGTTCGCTTGCTTGCGTGCTTGCGTGCTTGCGTGCTTGCTTGCTTGCTTACGACCGTGCAAATCTTTCGGTCGTTTTTTAACCCACTTCCCGTGATCCAATCGAGCTGACATTTTGCACATAGACTCGTTGTGCGAGACAATTAATGTTCGTGAAAATGTTTTCCTAAATTTTACACTGTTTAGGGAAAACAAATTAAATATTTAATTACCAATTGCTTAATACTGGCAGACAATCATCTGACCCATAGGTGGCAGCCATCACAAGCCAGAGGACGAGAGGACTCTAGCCGCCACGCATATAAAGGATTTATAATGACAAACTTTGTTTTTACGGGTTTACTTGTTTGTGTTAAGGCCCTGCGAGGTTTTCCACACCTCCACGACAGTGGCCACTTATAAATAAAGGCCTGAGGCCTATATACAGAATTTTAGCGCTCCAATTTCATTCTGACATCTTCGGATTGTAGTACGGTTTTAATTAATTTACGCTTCTTATGTATTATAATTTAAGTAGTAGTTTTCGACAATTGTCTTTGTAACTTTTGCGAAGTGGCTTTGAACCTTGTGGTATGAAAGGCGCTCATAAAAACAAAGATTATTATTATAAATTTTACATGGCCTAACCCAAAAAAAAAATCTACCTACGAATCATGATAGTACCCCTGTTAGACTAGATCTTTAATCTGCTGCTATTAATACAAAAGAAGAAGACTAGAATATAGAGGTTACTTGCATATGTACTTAACGTTTTCTGGCATCTCTTTCCCTCGTATTATATTTGCACTGTTTTTTCTGTCGATTCGCAAGCGTTTTATTTCACGACATGAAAACATCTCGCTTGCTAGTTGTGCAATATTCCTGAAGGGACCCATTACTCGTTCTCCACAATGTTGATGCTTTTGGATTTTCTTTCTGCTGTTTCTGCGCTTGTGCACCACCGCAGATCTCCATTTGTAAAATATCCGGGGGGGACTGGCTAAACGGCACCATCCGTGTAACAACAAATCAAATAAACTCGGATAATCGTGGCCGCGTAAACTCGCAGCGTTAAGTCAACCGTAATTACTGTGCACCCCTCCTCAGTCCCCGCCGTGTCCACGCGGTACCTGTTGTACGTGCGTGTCCATGACATCAGTGTCTGTGTGTGTGTGCGTACGCGTGTGCTCGTACGCAGCTGGGGCGAGCCGAGGGCCGGGTGAAGAGGGCCAGCAGGTGTTCCACGGCACAGGCTATTGCAAGTGGTTCAACGTGCGCATGGGCTTTGGCTTCATCGCCATGACGAACCGCGAGGGCCAGCCGGTCGACCCGCCGCAAGACGTCTTTGTCCACCAAGTGAGTGCCCATCGGCCATTGTCGGGTTACCTCCCCCACCCACTCGCCCACCCACCTGCCCCACCCTCCTCCTCCCTCGTGCCAGCGTTAATTTATTCAGCGTTTTTATTTTGAGCGAAAGGCTTAGTCTTGGTCGACGACAACCCGTGGAAATATGGGTCGAGTGTTTTTTGGTAAATTTGTGGTCGTTATTCTCTCTCCTTTTACTTGGCTCAAGGAGTATAACTTAGAATCCATTCATGGTGATTAAATGTTGGCATTAGGGACACGCAATTCCCCCCCCCCCCACACTCCCATATCAGGACTCGTGGGCCGGAGGAAACCCTTGTGCCAGGGGGAGGAATAAGACAAGTGGGGGGCATCCACTTGATTCCCCACGCGAAGGCCCATGCCAACCGCGCTAGGGCCCATGCCATCGGCCATGCCTGGGGAGCTTCCTTGTCTCCCACGTGTGCCAACGTGGGCTGGCGCCATGCACGCTTGACCGCCGTGAGAAGTCGTGAATGGATTATGTGAGTCGCCTCTCCACCCCCCCCCCCCCCCCCCCCCGTGGGTGCACGAGTAAGAGTTTACAAGGGCACAGCGGCGCATGCAGATGTTACGTAGGTCTCATTATCGTGTTGATAAAATGTAGACAGCCGCGCAGGTCCCAATTGGTGTGGCAGGTTACCGCGTTGGTGGAATTGCGGGTCCAACGCCGGTGGCGTGTTCGACGCAGCGGACGGCGTTGCTGTTGCTCGTCTCGCTCTCGATCATTTGTGGCCAAGTCACTTCTGAAAAAGAGTGGGCCTTACCCGGTAAATTCAAGATAGTTTAGTTTAGTTTTAGTTTAACGCACGCTGCGCGAGTCACATTTTTCGTGGCCCTTGCCCCCGCACATCCAACTAGCACAGTTGGTTATGTACAGTGAAAAATAAGTTCAACATCATACAATACATACAGAAACTAAACACCCCAAAATGATGCCTACACGATAAATTGAACGACGCGGCATCATTTGCGTTCACGCGGCAATAAATGACGGCAATCTCAGGGGTTCGGCCCTTCTCTCTGCGGCCTGTTCCGTTACCGTGCAATTTGACCGCCGTGCTGCAGTGCGGATTGATGGCATTGCACGACCGATTGTTTAGCTGTCAGTCGGGGAAGTAGGGGGGGGGGATCTGCAGCCGTGATGCGTGCACAGCCACGTACGGACACGACGACTGCCACGGTTATCAGCAGCAGCAGCAGCGGCAGCAGGCTCCGTGGGGTGTCGGCCCCTTTTTCCTCTTAATTTGTGCAGGAAACGTTCAGTGAATTAAAATCCTCGTTCGGACAGAAGTGTAAGCTGAGAATCCCCACCGTCTTCTCACGACCAAGATGATGTCATGGATTGTTTACCTGACCGTGGGGCTTCGCGGTAGCGAGATATTAGCTCCGTTCGCAAGGTGCTGGTATGCAGGAAAGTCGTGGGTAAGTCATTGAGCTATATACAGCTCTTTTTCAGAAGCGACCTGGCCACAATTGATAGCACAACAAAGTTAGGCATATCATGTGGACATTTATCGCAACCAAATAATCTAAACGCACGTTCTAAACGAGAGGAGCCGGAGAAAAATCCATGTGACCACGGGAAGAACACGCAAACTCAGAAAATACAGGAGTCGTCAGGGTCGGGATTGAACCCACGACCTCCTGTTTACTAGGCGAGGTAGTTAACATCTCGCCACCGTGAGCGCCCATCCTCCCCATGTTCCCCCGTCTGTTGCGTTACATTTGCAGTAATGGAGGCCGATGATTAAGCAATAGCCACCGAGTGATTGAGTGACAGCTTCCCGCGCTTGAGCAAAGTCTATTTTTAAAGACCTACGGCTAAATGTTTACGATCGCAAAATGTTTGTTGAGGTTAATGACTCATTCGCTATGAGAATAATAACCAGTGGCTGCTCTCAGCATATGCAAACTAAGCGAAAGTTTATGACTCCAGGCAGCTAAAAGGAACCCTGTGTGCATGAATGAAACAGGGTTGAACTATATTGAACTCAGATGCTTATAATTATTACGAATATAATTAGTCAAGAATTGTGTGTGTGTGTGTCACTCCACGTTGAGCAGCCCCCCTCATTAATAATCATGAACGGGTGACGTCACTCCACATGGAGGGGCGAGGCGCCTGCTCCCCCCTCCTCAGCGTCAACTCACAACCCTCACTACAAAGGCAGAACTCTCACGTCACACGATCTCCGTAACGCTGTTGAGACATAGAAGTAAAAAGGACGTCATGATGAACAAGGGATTATAACATTTAAATGAAATAGGTCTGTGTCACCGCGCCCTTACAAATTGCACGCGAATGGATGCAATGAATATCACCTCGCTGTCTGCTTTTCGCTTGCAAGTTTCAGATTTACTGCAATACACCCATCCTTGGACGGGCTATAGGCTAGTAAATAAATAAAACATCTATCGTACTAATATCACGACTGTGTGTGGAGCGGTGGTGTAGTGTGATAAGCGCACTCGAACCTGCCAATTCGAGTTCGATTCCCCCTCACGACCAATAACAGCAGCGAATATTTCCACCGGTCCTGGGCCTCCCCTAGGTCGACTCAGCCTTAAATGAGTACCTGGTGCAGTGTGTAACCATCAGCAATGGGGAGACGGAGGCGGCCAGGCTTAGTTGTTGGCCACCCAATCCCCCGTTTGCCGTGCCGTGCCGGCCTTTGTAGGCGCTACGAGCTCACGGCGCTTGCCCCAACAGTCCGTTGGAGGTGACGCAGAGGGGCGTCTTTGACTACTAGAATGAATTAAATTATAATTACAGTAGTCGGTAACTCGACTGTGACGAAAATTGGCTTTGCATCCCTTGCCCAGCCTGTAATATTTGTGCAGTCACGTGACATATCCATATTTACGCACTTATTTATATATTGCTTAGGGTGCTCAGTGGGCCGGCTCCACCACTATTGACGTCGGCCCGGGTTTTGAATCGGTAGGGTCTGGCAACTACTAATAAACGTGGGGGTTCTTGCGCCTTAATGGAGGGGGCCATGCGTAGTAGAAGTAGTCGTAGCAGTTTGGCTGCCCCCCCCCCCCCCCCCCCGTACCGTGGTTCTCTTGTGCCTGGAGTTCTGCGGAGTTTTTTTTTCCTGGAGCCCTTCTTTGTCTCTTGTCATCTGCGTGGGGGCCCCCGGGCGGGGTTGGGGAATTGATGGTGCAAGAGACCGGTTGAATCATTGACTAGTCAAGGACAAGCGAGAGGACCTCTTAAAACGACTCTTCACTTTTACTCGACAGTATTCGGAAAATTGAGTGGCGTTGGCGGCCGGTGGGGGATGGGCCCGGGAAGACAACAGGGCCTCTCGTTTGGCCTGTAGATGATTACTGGATAGGTTCAGGGTCTTCAAGGCTCTCCGTGTGTTTTGTTGTTGGTGGGTTTGCAGGTGGTGCAGTGGTTTGTGCGCCGCGCTACGAACCCGGCGACCCGAGTTTGATTCCCCGCTCGCCACCGACACCGGTGACGTTTGTCTGAAACCCGATCCTGGGCCTCCTCTAGGTTGGCTCGGCCTCAAATGAGTACCTGGTGTGGTGTGTAAACATTGCCACTGGGGAGACAAAGGTGGTCGGGCGTGGTGTTGGCTACCCACCCCCTGCTTCATAGGTGCTTGCTAACAGCACTTGGCTCAAAACTCTATTAAGGCTAAACAGGGGATCTTGTTTTGTTGTTGATTGGGTAAAGGCACAGCTTGCTTATGCCTTTGCTGCCGGTGTCTGAAATGTACATCTGAAATCGGCGGTGCCACGATCGCGGTCGGTATTTATCTCCCTCACTTGGTACGCAGGAGGTCACGGATTTGACCCCGACAATGCCGATGTATGTTTGGAGTCGGCGTGTTCTACCCACGATCGCGTGGATTGTTCTCCGGGGTTCCTCTGGGTTTTTTTCCGCTCCCCACTTTAATCAAACACGCATTCATGCGATTCGGCTGATGCTATAAATTCCCCCACGTGTGATGTCACTTCGATGAGCTTATTCGACGTGGCCAGGTGGCTTCTGAAAAAGAGCTCAAAGCTCCCCGGGGCTTTACCCGGTAAATAATAAAATAGTTTAAGTCGTGGAAACCTCTCTCTGTTATAGGGGACCTCGAGGGAGCCCCCACAAGATGTTATTTTGACCTCTTCATCCACACTGGCCAGGCGTCTTGGGAGAAGTGGGAGTATGCCCACACTTTACCCCACCACGAATTCCAAACCAATCGACCCGATTGTAAACACCCGCTGCTGCGCTCTGTACTCCTTCGAAAGGATGAATGAACGAACAAACAAGCAGATAACAGGGTACCGCTGATGGCAAGATATTAACTCCCTCGCCTGGTGTGCAGGAGGTCGTGGGTTCGATCCCGACCCTGACGCCTGCTGCTGTATATTTGGAGTTTGCGTGTGTCTCTCTCTCCGAGTGGTCACGTGGATTTTTTTCCGGTTCCTCCCGTGTTTCCCTCCACATTTATAGTTAACATCGCGCTGTAAATGTCCACGTGATAAGCCACTTCGCTGAGCTATCATTCGTGATGGCCAGGTTGCTCCTGAAAAGAGCTGCGTAGCTCAGCGGGGCCTTACCTGGTAAAAATTAAAAACTAGTTGTTTTTTTAACACAAATCTAAAGTGACAACTTTAATCTGCTGTTATTAATCCATCCGAAAGAAGAAGTCCACCACCACTCGCGGCCTGCCGACCTACCAACTGTGCTGTACCCATCTGTACCGTCGGGTGGACAGAGGCGGGGCGGGGGGTGATGGGGAGTCCAGCCGGCTACTGACCGCGGCGCCCGCGGCAGCAGTTGCTGATGCACGGAGTCACTTTACAAGCAATAGGTGGTAAAAGGGCAAGTTTTCCCGCGTGTCCAGATGTCCATTTCGGACACTTCGAATGATTCTATATATATCGTCAACGTGAGGTGGCCCCTAGCTGGGGCCGTGGCGGCGTGTAAATCAAGCGGCATCTGTGATTCCTAGAGAAACGAT